TTTTCTTTGTGGTTTGCTTTGTGTTTGTAATTCTCCACTATTGAAGTGTTTGATTGTCCCGTTGATATGGTATATCATTCCATCCATTGAAGCCCATGTAGCTCGAAGGTAGATCGGTTGGTTGAACACAGTTGAACATCTCAATTAGAGTTTGGGAAGGACACTATCTTGGATAACTCGGAACTAGGCTCAAGAAGATCGAGAACATCATCAAATCGAGCTAGGACTCTATGATAGTCTGACAGATACTCGACTTGGAACTAGAGGGGCCAGGTAACCTCATAGACAACAATATGCCCAATAAGTCTGGATTAGTCAGAGGATAGGTGATCGAGTCGGTCAAGCAAATAATAACCACCTAAAAAGTAGAGTAGTGTGAATGCAAATAGATAAAAATAGTGTGAACACGTTTGGATAAGGATAATAAGTAGCAAGAATGCTTGGGTAACAAGAGGACAAATCTTTGGCAACACGGGTACCTGGGCAACAAAATCGGGCAGATCTTGAGCAACACGAGTACTTGAGCAGCAAGATCATGTAGATCACAGGCAACAAGGTAATGATTCTATATAAGGGTGAGGGATGACTATCACTTCTTCTCTTTCTGAATATTCTAGGCTATTATACACTAACAGTTCCACCCCCAATTGACTTGGGCGTCGAAGCTTTTACGTCGGGGTAACATCGGCTTTGTTTTGCCGGACATTGTAGCTATTCAGGGATTCAAGCGACCTTGGATCGGATCGAGGTTATTGTACACACCATTTGGCTTCGTCTATGGGAACTTCGTTCAAAAACCATCAAACACCAATCATAGCGAACGACGATACCAGAAAACTTGAAAAACCAATTTTCGTTTTGACGAGGTATGATTGTCCAATTGCCCCTTAGGAATGGGCCCCACCACCAAGTTTTTCTAGGTCTATTTTGACGCCGGTCATTCCAATCCCCAACCTGTCGGGGATCGAAAGCACTCTGGTGTCCACAACCCTAACTAGCTACCCTACTGGTCAACTGTAAGGTGAACCGGGTCAGGTGCTATGATGGGGCGAGTCAACTATTTTAGTTGGTTTCTAGNTTTTTTTTTGTGATTTTCGACTAACCTTCTTTTCAACATTTCAAATTTAGTTTTAAAAATTAAAAGAACATTCCCACGTGAAAATTACCAAAAACTTCTAAAAAATGAAACACCAAAACACTAGACATCAAAATAGTTCCACTTGTTTAGCCAGATCAGCAAGAAGATGGAGAAATAGGCACAAAGATCACTACAAGAAAGAGTAGAAAAACCAATCTAATTGTAGTACTAAGTTTTTGGTGAATGTTACATGAGATTCTTGAGACCGGTAATAAAAACTACAGGTCCCATACGAGTAGGTTTCCGACAATTCTTCTTTCACGTTAATATTTTTCAGGCAAGTCATCGAAAGCAAACAAATAAGAATTTGGATTTTCCCGCCCACAAATGGACATGTAAATCGTCAATCCATGTCGAGAAAATCCATTCTCTTTTTCATTGTGCCCTTGAGCTCCGAAGCCTCCTTTTCGACCTTTTGTGCCTAAAAATGACAAAACCAAAAATATTACCACACGTGCATATATAATTATATATAAATGCTGATCAATGGCTCTGCAAAGGTGTAGATAATGACAACATGAAGAGTTTATAAGCTCTTTATCAAGATGTTCAGAGGCTTTAGAGGGTGCATTTACAGCTCTCTTAAGCATCATAAAGCTGTTTCAATAACGCATAAGCTCCTAAAATTGATTTGGTAATTTCATATCTAAAGAGCAATTGTATAGAAGCTTATAAGCTGATTTCTAGAAGATTTTCTCTTTGAAATAATAATAATAGCAACATCATACAGATTTGATTGAATTAATTATGGAACTCGTATTACTGACATTTTATAAGCTTCGTTATCTTATTTGGATGCAACACATCAAGAAGTCATATTCGAAACAAGATCTAACAACCTGCTAGTTCTGAAAACATCATATAACATACAGTATAGGAGTTTAACAATGTTCTAAACATACTTAGCCAAACACATTCTCAGTCCAATTTTACACGTGCAACCGAATTGAGAAAAAAAAAAATTGAACAGAAAAAGAAGCTTTCAAATTACAAATACTCTTACATGCATATACATATATATATATATATATACATATATATATATATATATATTTATAATACAACCTATTGAGAGATATTTCAGAAATAAACAAAGATCTAAGTCGGGTATTTCTAATTATTGAAGATTATCAGATTTATTTATTTTGTTATTTCATAAATTAGGTTGAACCTCAAGGGTAACTTCAATTATTTGTCATAACTAAGAGTGCAAAACCAAAATCATAAGTAGAACACCGAATATTGATATTTTACCCTCTTTATCTCTGCTACTTCAACACGAGTCATATGAGATGGGAGCTCCTCCTTCTCCAAGTCCTGACAAATCATAAAGTTCAAATCATATGTGGATATATGATGAAAAAAAAATAAGAAGAATTTCACAAAACTGAATTCCCACTAAATAAAACACATACCAGCTCCCCAATCAAGACAACATTTTCCCCACGGATTACATACAAACCTAATGGTATGTCGCAATACAGATCACCAACAATAACACGCTCACATGCACCTTCTAGAACAGCATTAGCTACACGAAATAGCAAAGTTATGTTACACAAACAATAAAAAATTAAGGACAGTGCAAGTATAGAGAAATATATTGCAAATTATATTACCAAATTGATCAAAGGAACGAAGTATCCCCAGTAGTTTCCGGCCATCTCGGAGTAATACAAGAAGTTTTTCTGGAAAGAAGAAATAAAATATTTTCAATTAGTATGCAGTGAACTTGATGAGGGAAAAGTGTTCAGTATCCATAGGAAATGACAGTAAAAACCTAGTATGTTTTGTTATTAAATTAACTTCAACTACCAGCTAGACCACAAATACAGCAACATTACAAGGATTCAGGATATGGAAGGCGATTGGGTACAAGCATATTTTATACTGGAACACTGGATACAATTTTTTTTCCAGAGAAACTACTACTCATCACTTCCTACTTTTTTTCACCTCAATATTATCAATTGGATGAAAAAGTAAAAATCAATCATCACTATACCTTTTCCAACAAATTTCATAATTATCCAGCTACATATACTTAACTATTTTTCTATCATATCCATTCACAATCTAAAACATATTTCAATCTTCAACCAAAAAAATTTAACTTTTTTCGCAACTTTTCCACTGACAGCAACAAATTGATTAGTCGAATCAAATTGATGATCATTTTCTCTACCTTGAGTAACTATCTCAGATGGCAGAATTTTCTATTTTCCATAGAACATATGCAAGCTATGGAATTTCAACCACTAAAGCTCTCTACGCATCTCATAATTATTGCAGGAACAACATTGAAAGCAAAATTGTGATAGAAAAGGATGGGTATTGAGTTTATTACTGAATTTCTTCATATCTGGAACATCACCTTCCAAATTTGGATCATTCAAATAGCTATAACATTAGACAACATCTCCCTTTTATAAATTTCAGAAATAGCTGCATATTTGTATTAAGAGCCGTACAAATATGCTTACATTAAAAATTATAATCCCCAATTCATCTCTGACTTGAGAGGCATCTCACTTACAATATTCACAACTTCATTGCGAAAAAGGGCATGCAGTAGATTGTTTCTCCAGGTTTCATCAAAGCAGAAATCTTTAAATAATTAAAAGGATGGCGACCGAGTATATTATAGCCAAGCACAAAGTAGACCAATTAAACAGTACTTAAAACATGTTATCAAACTTCTTCAGCATAGTCCTACACAATGTTGGACTCCCTACTCACAAATTAACATGTGAAATTGATACACGACAAAAACAAGATGCCATGATTCCTTACTTCAACATAGCGTACAAACTCCCCCAATCAAAATTTAAAACCAGATAACCGCAGCACAAAATTACCTATGATAAAATAACTAATTACGACAAGACCACCTTAATATTTCCCTACAGCTAATTTAGATTATTGAACGATCATATTTCAACTTCTGATTCAGAGAATAAACGCCACACAGTTAGTAGACTTAAACATGCAAACTCATAGGTAAAAGTAAGTTCTAATTACATGCCAAACAAACACTCTCTTTCAAAGAAATTCAGTGAGACCCATGTAACTACTCACCAAGAACTCAAGAACCAATAATGATACAGTNNNAAGAAAAAGATGAATAAGAAATGCCAACAAAAGAGCCCTCAGAAAACAAATACGCAATACCTTCTCATTTTCTACAAATCACATTCATACACACGCATTGAGATATAGGGACCGAATTAAAGAAGCACACACACACACACTTACTATCAAGATAACTAGCAAGAGAAGTGGAGAGGTAGATATCTTCCGGGCCCGCCCAAGCCATCGATGACCCCAAAACAAAGCTTCAATCTTTTCGGAATTCTCCAAATACCCACCGAAAAATCTAGCAGTTTCAGTGAAACAAATTGCATTGGCAGCTCACAATTGGCCCTTTAATTAACCCCTTTCCGCAACTTCAATGACAATAATTAAAAAAATGTATGAAATTTGGCAATTTCGCTAAAATTCGATTCAGGTCAATGGGAAGAAACGGTGAAAGATTTTTGAGAAATTGGGCAATTGGTGTTGAGTTTTGGTTGAAGATCAGATCTGGGCAAGAAACCCTAAAGTGGTGGTTGACAGGGGTATGGGCCTAAATCTCCATATTCTCGGGGGTTGAGGGCCTTGAGGCAAGTACTAAAAAGTATTTTACCTCACAATTGATGTATGTGTTCCTTACCTAAATTTTAGACTATTGTACCTCTCATCAATATTCGAATTAATTTAAAATAAGCTATTAATTATTTTTCTTCCATTTGTACTCTTAAAATAAGTTTTTTTTTCGGTCAAAAAAAAATAAAAATTGTATTGTCTCGGTTTAATTTTTAATTTTATTTTATTCCTACCCTCCGATCAATTTCTATTGCTCCGTACTAGTTTAATGTTTCGATTTCTGGTGCTTTTGTAATCTTACGTATCAAAATATGATGTTTTTAGTAGTTCATATAAATTTAAACTTTTAATTATAAGACACTTTATCAATTTAAATTATAAATATAATTTTAAACTTAATAATTTTTTAATTGAAATCAGTATCGGATATATGATATATTAAATTAAGGATATTTTAACGATATTCGATATAATATTAACATTACATATGTACAAATTTATATATACCTTTATAAATAAAAACTAAATTATCTATTATATCCTAATTGAAAATAATAAAATATTAATAATTATAAAAATTTCTATTTTTTTTCTAACTCTTTAAGTATAAAATTTAAATTAACGTAATGGTATTACTAATAAAGTTAACTTACTATCCTTTAATTGTATATTAAATTTTCACTTCAATCATTAATATTACTCTGATAAAGAATATGGGTGTTACACAACAAAAAATATCCAATAAAAATAAAGCACAGTCCAAGTGCAAGTTAAAGCCGAAAGGATAGACAAGACTCAAAGTACAAAATGAACTGCAGACAGCCCAAGGAAATGAAATTAGGGTTGTTGATCACCTAATCGGCCCGCCGATCACTCTCAGCTTCCCAAAGAAGATTGACGATCACCTTTATCGTCTGAACTAAAAACTGGCAAAGCTTATAGCACTGCTCCTGCTTCCCCATCCAATTGTGTATGAAAACACGCAGCCCACTTTATGCCCCTAGTTGGCACTCCGCATTTAATGAGTCGTCAATTTTTTCTCATATAAGTACCGACATTCAGGTCCGAAAAAAGAGAATTGTTCAGTCAACCAATAAACACCATATACATATACATTATTGATCTTCCGAGATCATACACTACAAACACTCGACTGTATTCATACAATTGTTTAATAGAAACCCCGAAGAACAATCTCTTTGCTGATCGCCACAACCGATCGACAGCAATGGTGTCTTACTCTTGTTTATGCATATTTAATTAATTGTAATCTTTTCATATTAGGTATCTATAAAACATATCATAATTATACCATAACCCCCAATCAAATTGTCCTAAACACACTTATCGTAGCCGTTGGCGATTCTGTTGGACGATGTTTGTAATTGATTATATTGGGATCATGCATAGTTGTGATCCCACAAAAAGCATGTAAAAACCCAATCTCAAGTGATCCCATTTATAAATCGACCTCGAGGGCAATGAATGGTACCATTGCTAAGCCTTGAGCCCTAGAGTCAAGGAAAATGTTCGGCATCTAAGGGCATCGCTTGCCCCATGGAGATCCATCCATGACGTATACTTTTCCAATTGAGAATCGAGATCGGTTTCGCGATGGTATAGACCAATTTGAGTGACTTTGATTTTCATATGGAGTACAGTCAGGATATGATATGAGAGCGGCGAAGTTGGATATGTTGAGTCACCTTTTGGAGATGAATGGGGATTGGAGATCGACCTATTGGCCGATTCTAGGGTTTGTCATGCTTCAAATTTGACTGTCTGCTATTTCAATGAGGCGATCTCCTCAACTTCCCTTCGGAGGATTCATTTAGTGATTTGCTATCGGAGATCCTCTTATTTGTTGTTTAAAAGTTTGAATATTGTTATGGCGTTGGAGCTCATGTTGACCCCCGAGTGAGCTTGGTTTTTGCCCATGCTTTCACGATATTTTTTGACGATCATGCTTCTGTTTGTCTTTACCCCTGTCATAAGACTCAGAAGGCTCGTGAGAGTGGCCTTTTAGGGGAACTTAAACATGAGTTTGAAGAGGTTTTTGTAAAGTAGGTGTTAGAAATCACTTGTGAGTTGTCCCACATCGTTCATACATGGAAAATAGACCCACTTTATAAGTCTAATAGGTTACTCCTCCTTCCACCAATTGGTTTTGGGATGGAACCCCACTTGGGCTGCATATAAGTTTTCCTCGCATTGGTGCGCTTCATGTTAGTGGGACCGCACCATTTTTTTCTCAGTTTCTTATATGGTATCAGAGCCGGTTCTATTAGCGACCGTGCGATAACGTACCCGTCACCCAACCCAGTTGGGCTTGGGCTTTCGAAGGACTCACAAGTGAGGGGGCATGTTAGAATATCACTTGTGAGTTGTCCCACATCGTTCGTACATGGAAAATAGACCCCACTTTATAAGTCTAATGGGCTACTCCTCCTTAACTTAATCTCTTCCCCTAGACTTGAAATTCTCAAACCACCACGCATTTTTCAACTAAAAAAGATAGACTTAATGTAGTTGTGGGATCATAAAACTTGTAATTGTTAGAATAACACTTGTGAGTTGTCCCACATCGTTCATACATGGAAAATAGACCCACTTTATAAATCTAATAGGTTACTCCTCCTTCCACCAATTGGTTTAAGATGGAATCCAACTTGGGCTTCATATGGGCTTTCCCTACTTTGGTGCGCTTCATGTTAGTGGGACCGCACCATTTTCCCCCAATTTCTTACAGTAGGATTTTGTTGAGGGTTGTTAATGGGGTTGTTGCGAGACATTTGGGAAAATAGTTTGTTAAGGCTTAACAAAGGTAGAATTTTGAAAAATGCTTTGTTACCAAAAACCCTTCATTGGGTCAATCCTCTAGTGCCAATTTGTTGACAATGCTACTACCGTGGTTTGAAGCGGACATGGCTATGGCGAAGATGTAACGTTGAGGATGGGAAGATTCACCAAAAACCCTTGATTGGGTCAATCCTCTAGTGCCAATTTGTTGACAATGCTTTGTTATCAACATAATTAAATGTGGATTATGTACTTGTATTATACAAAATAGACGTATTATAGATAACAAGAGAGACCATCAATGACTAATAAGATCACACAAGAAAAAAAAAATCAAGAAGAATTATTTATGTAACTTTGAGAGTAGTTGTACTTGAGAATATTTTCTTGTTCTCTTTTTTTGAAATATTAAGTGCCTCAATTATACATGAATAAAACGAAAAATAATGATGGTTGTATGCCACCTTAGAGTCTAGAGGGTTCGTGTTGCCATGCAAAATCCGACTTTTGATGTCAGGACTCATATTCCGACTTTTGAAGATGGGACTTGTTTGGGCGGTTGCTTTTCCGTTTCCATTCACATTCTATAGAGAGATCGACTTAAATTGTTAATAGGTAGATCGATACTTAATTTGGCTGGACACAATATTGGTTTGTCACTCTTTGGCCCGTCCGTTTGCATCGTCGGTCCGAGTTGTGGACCAAGATAGGTTTGGGCCAGTTCTTCAATGTGAATCATACACCTCTTGGGCCGGCCCAAGGACTTTTACCTACAACAATATAGTATGTCAAATTACATTTTAATATTTTGGATTATCCTATATTTCACACATTAATAACTACTAGTCTTGTAGTAAACTAAAACTTAAATTTGTTTAGATTTAACTATAACGATAAAGAATTCGAATATCTAATCCCTATATATTAATTTAAAATATGTTGAGCCTAATTGCTATATTTACACTCTTCGGATGTTGGCATGACAAAATTTTGCGATTCTTAATTTTGTTTGTGTGTATATATATATTAATAATTTGGAATCAAGTTTGGTATTTGACACAAATATTTAATTTTTATTTTTGTAAGTATCATTTATTTTTTTGTTACTTTCTATTACCCAAATATAATCTTACTATATATATTATGATTTATATTTATTTTATTTATCAATTTCATTTTTTTTATCATATTTAATTTAAAAGTTAATAACTTTTTTTATTTTTTATTTTATCTATACTCTGTTTTTCACATGTGACAAATTGATAATCTTTTGACTATCTTAAACATTCATATAACATGTAATCAAGTTTGAAAAAAAATAAAAAATATAAAATCAAATTAGTAGAGTTGTCAATAATATTTGTGGTACACATATAATAAAAATAAAATAAAATTATTTATTAATTTTATATATGTAATATGAATATCAAATCGAGACTTGCCAAAAGATGATCAATTTAATATAAAAATTATTAAGTTTTAAATATGTTTATAATTTAAGTTACAAATATGTTTATAGTTTAAGTTACATGAATCAGATACTTTGAAGCACAGACATTGAAGTACGAAGCATTGGACAAAAGTCCAAATGTTAGACGTGTACATTCTGCATTAATATACACTAGTACAATACAAGTATATTACACGGATGTTAAATTAAAAAGCTTTTATAAAAATTATTAATTTTTTTATTTTCTTAAAACTAAAATAATTTAATTTTATAGAAAATATTACTGTGGAATTTAATTAAATTGTCCAATTATATTTTTTTAATCATAATAATTAAACACCGTACATTAAATAAAAATGTCAACCCGTGTTGAATTTTTTTTACTTATATCATATAAAATATCGATATTATTTACTAAGTACAAAAATATATATCTTGAATAAATAAAAATAATATGGTGTATTTGATAATACTTCATAATAATGAGATCAATTTAAAATATAAATTTGAGTAACTTTAAATTGTGATTTGATGATAAGATAAGTCCAAATGATTTGAATAATAAATTAATTGGTTTATTTGCTTAGAATTTTTTCCGTGTAGAAAGATGACCGAGGTTATGTACACGTGATTTGATGATAAGATAAGTCTATATAAAGTGAATTTTAAATTATTTGGTTTATTAATATAGAAGTTTTATTAGTGTGAAAACTTCATGATAAGAGTTTTTATTAAATTTTATTATTATATTATTCAATGTTAAATATTAAGGACTCTTATACTAATTATAT